ACAAACTCCGCGAAAGTAGAGTTGTACGGGAGTGTTAATGACGCCGCAGCATCGTACAAAGCCGTGACAAATTGCAACGATCGCGATGGCCGCGTGTTGTGACGAACGTGTCGAGCTGTCTTCGGGCTCCGAAAACTGGGGTCGAGATCGATTTCGCTGCCATGGTGTATTAACCTTCTTCGTTTGATGTCGATGACTTTGGTAATACACTCGTAAAACTGACTTCAAAGTTACTGTTTTGTTTTGGTAGTATTTAAATTGGCTCTTTGAGTCTCTTCAAAGAGTTGAATCCAAGAGAGGTCACATTTGAAGTCTAACGCAAAGGACGCTAACCTAACGCTAACCAAACCAATGGCTGATTGATACTGACTTCAAAATTGATGATCAATAGAGAAATGATATTTTACCAAACCCTGATCTGGATGAAAATCAATATGTTCAAGAAAGATATCTTGATAACTTTTATACTTTAAAATAATTCACATATGCCCTATATACATACACATATGGATTAGTCACATGGATCAGTCATATGTCTCTAATGTTCAGATCTGCCACGTTCACACAAACGTTCGTCAAACTCAAGTTTAATCATGAAAAACAAGGTTGTCTCTGGATTATGAAACCTAGGAAGATTCTTTCCCTTCACTCCTATAATATGAAACTCCTGAAGAAAAGCAGTCTTACACACATAGTCGCATGTAGACTCTCAGCGATAAATCGCGAACATTTCAAGGTTCACGCGTGCCGCGTTGACTCATTGCAATTTAAAAATTGCTCCAAATTCCGTGGATTCCTAAGATGGTCCCCCAGGTCGAAATTCCAGCGAGCCAGGCCGAGAAATCGTCAAGGTATGCGGCCAAGGCTCGTGGCGTGCTATAACGCTTTAATTGTCGCTCGGTTATGTTAATACGTCGACAATTTCATCAGTGGCATGCGAGGACCTAATGGATTTGCGGATAATTGGAAGGGAGTAAGGGTTGCGGAGGTTCGAGGGAGCGCAACGGACCGATGACAATGCCATAACGCAAGAGGGCTCTCGCGTAACGATTCTACCGGCCTGGACACGCTCCGACTGCTTCCACTGTCGACGACAATATGCACGTACACACTGTTAACAGCATATTATTGTTAACGGCGGTCGATTCGGTTCGCGTGTCAATGTTTGCGCAAGGCATCGCAACGAGCAATTGGAATCGATTTAATCAGGGACAAATTTCATTTTGATAATTAATTCGGGTAAATCGCTTGTGGAGGCGCACTGGCGTAACTTGCTTTTTTGAGGTGGTGGATGTTGGAGATTTTGGTATTATGTGGATGTGACACTGTTTTGGGAATTTTGGGATTTGTAGAGTGGGGGATTGCTAAGTTGGATTTTGAGAATTTTGGAATTTTGGAATTTGGAACTTGAGGATTTGGAAATTTAGGAATATTGGGATTTGGGAAGTGGGGGATTGCTAAGTTGGATTTTGAGAATTTTGGAGTCTTGGAATTTGGGATTTGAGAATTTGGAAATTTGGGAATTTTGGAATTTGGGAAGTGCGGGATTGCTAAGTTGCATTTTGAGAATTTTGGAATTTTGGAATTTTGGAATTTTGGAATTTTGGAATTTTGGAATTTGGGACTTGAGGATTTGGAAATTTGGGAATTTTGGGATTTGGGATGTGGGAGGTTGCTAAGTTGGATTTTAAGAATTTTGGAGTCTTGGAATTTGGGATTTGAGAATTTGGGAATTTGGGAATTTTGGGATTTGGGAAATGGGGGATTGCTAAGTTGGATTTTGAGGATTTTAGTGCTGAGAATTTTGGACTTTAGGAATTTAAGACTTGAGAATTTGGAAATTTGAGAATTCTGGAGATTTGGGAATTTGGGAACTTGAGAAATTGGGAATTTGAGAATTAGAGCATTCCAGTATTTGGAGATTTAAAAATTGGGGGATTTGGGTAATAGGAGATTTGAGAATTTCAGTGCTGGGAATTTTGGTCCTGAGAATTTAAGACCTGAGAATTTGAGAGTTCAAGAATCAAAAAATTTGAGAATTTGAAACTTGAAAATCTGAACCTTACGAATTTGATTACTAGGTTCACCCCAGTACCAACCTAGTTACGCCAATGATCACATGTTAGATCGAACCTCTCTAGAATCGAGTAATTTTTTTCTTCCCGTTCCCACGAATATGGCGCGTGATTCATGTTAGAGGAACGAGCTACTGTCGTCTCTTGAGGCTGAGAAAAAGTGATAGAAAAGAAGCTGATGTTGCCTAATGGCACACTTATTTATGACTTGAAATCGCATCGTTTTTTAAACTTCCTTCCTAGATGGTTTCATTAAGTTCTTTTACTTGAAGTGGCCATCGAGTTATATAACATGTATACATTACATTCATGAATGAATAATTCCTTCTCCAAGAGCAGATCAAGATTCAAAACCATAAAAAATCCTTAAAAAAAAATTATTTGCTAAACTTCTCCCTTATTACATATATTACATGTGTTATATGTTATAACTCCACATATTATACAAAAACAGTGATCTATCTATTTCATTAAACAGTGAAACTCAACAACTTGAGGATTGCAGAAACTCGCGTAGTACAAGAATCAGTATAACAAAAAGTAGCCCGTCCTTGACAAAACACTTAAGATCATTGCAATCGAGGTGTGTCTGTCCATAAATAATCCCGTCTGTCCTCGACGGTAGCCTTGATCACGCGCATCACTCTTTGCTCCTTTTCATCGCTCGCACACACAAGCTCATCCCGAAACCTACAGTTCCCGAAGCGTGCACAAGCTCATCCATGCACACAATGTCGCGTGGCATGTATCAAAATCGTCGAATCAAATACGCGAAACCAAAGCGATATTCCCATCGTGCGCTTGCTTGCGAGTGCAACCCTAGAGCGAGGAGACCGCAATCCGACCGACGTACAACATGTTTATGTATCGCAGGCAACATTAACATCGCAATTTATGCGCGCTTTAACTGGCCCGCAACCCTTGCAGGCTGCCCTCGTCCTCTCCGCGAGCGGCTGGCCCGCTTAACACGACCGCGAATTTACCAACGCGGTTCGACGTACAAGTTCACTCACCGCAGGAGGGCAGATATCTCGTCCCTCGTCGCCTCAACTCCATATATTTCGACTTTCGTCGAATCGTTACTTATTGTTGCCCGAAGGATGACTTACGACCGACTAGCTTATTAAACATCGAACAAGGCTCCAAATGGAGCCACGCGTTTTAGTGGCGCCACGAACATGAACGTTCTGTATGCAACCGACGATCCTCGGGTTTATAGGTACACGGATTTGGGGCTCGATGGACACGGGGATGGGTTCTGCGGTCGAGATTTGAGGCTTCTATGGCGTGACGGAATTCTCTGCCTTCGAACCCTTCTGTGTTACAGCTAATCATAATGCCGTGCGTATGTGTACTTGGTTCACGGGTCACGATATTGTGTTTGATTGCCGGAGAGCTGTGCAATGAGAACTGAGGTACTTTCAACAAGTCGATTTTGATTGAACTTTGATGACTTTGGCTCAGAAATGTTACATGTTACTGTCTTTTGACGTTGATCGTTTTGTTGGAAAGGTATTTAACAATTATTTATGTTTTTCGGAAGAACTTCACTTCAGCAGACTAGTAGGTGAGATGACAGAGGTAGAATAACAGGTTCATGAATTAATTTTCTTCAAATTCATTCATGATTAATTTTTGCATGCTTCTATATTTTCTCCAACCCCTCAAACTACAACTTCCTAGCCAGTACTGTTAATCAAAGCTAACTATTACTACAACATTAAGAAAATGTAAAGTAAGTCTGAAAGTCTGGCAAAGTCTGCTAATCCTTGATTTTGTAAATTATTAGAATTGAACCTAAAAATTTGCAGTGAAAATATAAGTATAACCTGTCACGTTTGATCACACGTGTCATAAGTGTAACTCAATATTAATAATTTTATTGAGTCCTTAAAAAAATATCGCACTTGAAATTAGCCATTGGAATAAGTACGTTAAACAGTAAAGTTCAATCATCCAATTGTCGACAAAATGTCCCTAAAGCGGTCACTGAATTTTCCATCTAGATATCCAGCCATTTCCTTCATATTCCCATCGTTAGCCAGAGCGTTACAATAAATTTCAATCTCTGGCTACGGCAAGAACGCCTCGCACCTTCCCTCCCCCGGGAGTCGGAACAAAAACGCTTCCACGCGGTCCGCCCACTCCATTAAACATTCAGGCGTAGATTTATTTCTTTCTAAAACTGTTATATGTATCGCGGCTACATAGAGAGCCCCGAAACGTGTAACCAGACCGAAACACCGACGACCCCATCCGTCTTTCGCGTTGGCTCTCGCTCGCGAGGGTGCGAAATACGTTTCGCAGACGCCTCGAGTCTCGATTTCACGAACGACTACCTAAAAGCCTCTCCACGCTGGAACTCTTGGCGGATACTTTGCAAGTTTCTCGGCCTGTTTACCTGACTCAACGAGGGGTGACTTCGGTAGCCGAAAAGTCAATGGGATGGAAAGCAAACGGGGATGAAAACCGAGACGGTGCGTAACGGCGTCCAAAGCGATTTCGCTAAGGTTCCGTGTTTTTATCGGGATGGAACGGGAGAGTTATGATCGCGGATGTAAACACGTGCTTCGCCAGAATGCATCCATTTTTCGCTGGACTGATGAGATGATACATGTGAAGATTTTATACTTTTCTTGCTGGGTAACCATCAGCTCTTAGATCAGACTTAGCTCTTAAGGATTAGGTATAATTAGGTCTTAGAATAAGGTACAAGGTAACTCATCATTTTACAGTAATTTCACAGTAACTCGTTACTTTAATTATAAAGTTCCTCCCAAATTATCAAATCGTCTGAAGAAATCAATGTTCCTCAGAAAGCAATGTTTGAAAGTCCTCCTCCCTATTGATCACATCTTTCAGATTCGCACCCGAATCCTTGAACTAATAACACCGAAGTCAAGTTCTCCTTGAAAGTATACTCACATATGTCTATAGATTGTCCTCTGGAGAGGCAGAGGATCAATAGGTAGAAGATGAGGCACGTCTGCAGGTAGTCCATGATGGCGTCGAAGGATGGTCTCGCTATCGAGTGGTCATCGAACTCTCATAACCGTATCTGCAACAGCAACGAGTAAATGAGGACTCATAGAAAAACGGAAACAAAGGATCATGAAATCAGTTCGCAAGAAAACGATTAAACGTAAGTTTCGAAGAAAGAGAGCCGTGGGCGAAGCGTAGAAAAACAGGCTGGAAACGGCCTCCCCGTTTCGCCGGGGTGAAATGGCGCGGTTCTACCGGACAGATATACGACCGGTACAGCAGCCACGGACAAAGAGCTACATTCACGCCAGCAGCCATTACGCGTCATTATCGAGATTAGGATCGGGAGTTCGAACGGTAGAGAGGGACAACCAGAACGGGTACAGAGGGAACGATAACCGGAGCAAAAGAGAACGGAGAACGCCGTGGGGCCCTTTTGCTGGTTGTTCAACGAGGGGGCGAGTGTGCACCGGATGGGGCTAGGAGGGTGTGCCACGCGGGAACAGGAGGACTGTACTTTATTCACGTCGGTGCCGTCGTACTGGAGGAAGGAAAAAAATCCTGCCGTAGAAAAGAGACAGCGTAGCCCTTCACTTTTTGGCTAATTAACGGCAGTTTCTTCCACTACCGACTACTTCGCGATGCTTATCTCGCAAGTTTAGGGACCCGGGCTTCCTCTGCGTAGCTCGTTATTCAACCGGGGAAAAAAGAACGTCGACCGATGACGTTCTTCTACGTATATCGGGACCCCATCGCGAATAATGTCGGCTCGGACGATTCACGCGACACGAATTCCAGAAGCGATGTTGCGCTGCTTTTGATTCGAGCTGGATTTTAACGAAGGCGGAGATCGAAATCAGGTATCGGTTCCTAGAATCTCAGATTCTCAAGCTCTCAAACATCCAAATTTCCAACTTCACCACACCTTGAAAGTCCTAATTTCCCAAATCTCCAAGTCCTTAAGTCCTCAAATTCCCTGCTCCATTCGTACTCGACCTCCATCCTCACATCTCTCCATCGCGAATAACCGAAGCACCGTCACACAACACAAATTCCAACGTTCCAGATATCGATAAGGAGCCACATTTTAACGAGGCTAGAGATCGTCATCAGGTCCTCAGAATCACGGGTCCTGGCATTCTACTTAAACGGTAAATGGTGGAATTCCATCCGTGATTCGGTGAACACGGCTGCGACAGCTTCATAGAGCCGCATAATCGATTAAGTGGCTGAATCGGATTATCCGACCGGCAATTAAGATACCATTCAGCATGGAGCGGTTACGTTGGTACCGGTGTCGGGGATAGCACGATCACAATGCGGACGGATCGATTGGTCGACACAGTAATTAAGGTCACAGGGTGCATCCAGGCTCGAGTTACTTACTGGAGTCGGTGCAACGGATCGTGCAAAGGAAACGTGGCTAACAGTCGTTCGTGGATTGTCTGAATTCAACGTGACGAGTGATTAATCGAACACGCTTGCGGGACTCCCGAAGGACCTGGTCTGGAATTGTTGAAGATGGTGAACGAGTGTGTACTTATATGGAATTGAAGATGTACTTGTCGATTTGAAGATATATGTGCTATATGTCAAGTCTGATGGTACGTGTGGTATCATATGTGATATATGATATGTGGTTCGAACATCGATAGTCTTTGAAGGTAATTATAATCTTACAATTATTTCTTGATTTCTACTGTCTATGAAAGTTTATATGCATATGTTTATACTGCATATGTATGGTATCATATGTGATATATGATATGTGGTTCGAAAATAATATCGATAGTCTTTAGCTTTGAAGGTAATTATAATCTTGATATTATTTCTGGATTATTACTACTGTTTATGGAAGTTTATATGCATATGTTTATACTGCATATGTATGGTATCATATGTGATATATGATATGTGGTTCGAATATAACATCGACAGTCTTTGAGTTTGAAGGTAATTATAATTTTGCAATTTCTTGATTATTACTACTATCTATGGAAGTTTATATGCATATGTTTATACTGCATATGTATGGTATCATATGTGATATATGATATGTGGTTCGAATATAATATCCATAATCTTTGACTTTGAAGGTAATTATAATCTTGCAATTATTTCTTGATTATTACTATCTATCTATCTATGGAAGTTTATATGCATATGTTTATACTGCATATGTAAGGTATCATATGTGATATATGATATGTGATGACATGAGTGTGTTACACATAGGGACCATATTTACATTCATAAAAATTCTTGTTCCATAATTCCGAGGGTATCATAACTAAATGAGCAAAAATGAAAATAAAATCCATAAAGATAGAAAATGAATGTAACCATAATTCAATGGTGGTTAAGAACACGATTTAACGCATCGCCGACCATATCGATCTTCACGAACGATCGTCCAGGGATCGCGTTAGAGTCATTACGAAGGAATAGTCGAATCGGAAAGGAAAGTTTTCAATTTAGAAGCCACAATTTGGCGGGAAAATATCGCGGCCCTGGGAATTCTTAGCCTCGCGAGCTCGGTCCGGTATAAATTTCGAGGGTGGTCGAACTATATATTCGTGGACCTAAGAGGGTAAGTTTATAGTTTGCTAGTTACAACGGCGCACAGTGTTCGCTATTTCCAGCATTGGCGCCGACGTAACGTCTCCTGTAAATCAAGCCTGGGAACGAAGAAATCACGTGGATTTAGTGGCCCGTTTGTTCTAGCTTCCTACGATACGCACACAGCCATCTTTCATCCGCTGAAACCTTCGGTGACTTTTACCGCGAACTTCTACATAAAGTGCCCTTGTACGCATACTGGACGCTCGATTTCCACGGTATGCGCCTTTTTCCTCCCTTTGAATAACTCAACGTTCCCGGGAACGCTTCTTCTTTTTAACATATTCGACGTTCTTCGGCCGCGGTGTAATTTATGGTGCAAATGAGTCGGTGCTCATTTTCTTCGATGATGATATATTTTATACGCACGGGTGAATTTTACGCTGCTTTTTATACTTGTTCAAGGTTTTTTGTGCACTTTGCATAATTGTGGGGAGTGTAATTTCATTTATCTTTGTCTTCTGATTTCTTAATTTACCTTCGCTCTTTAATTTTGTCATTTATCTTTGTTATTCTGTTCTGTAATTTATTGCTGTTCTTTAATTTTGTCATTTATTTTTGTTCCTTAATTTTGTCATTTATTTTTGGTCTTCAATTTTGTAATTTATTTTTGTCTTTAAATTTTCTGATTTATTTTTGTCTCTCAATGTCTTAATTTATCATTGACTTTTAATTTTGTAATTTATTTTTGTTCTTTAATTTTATAATTTATTTTTGATCTTCAATTTTGTAATTTATTTTTGTTCTTTAATTTTGTAATTTATCCTTGTCTTTTATTTTTTTAATTTACTTTTGTCCTCCAATTGTGTAATTTATCTTTGTCCTTTAATTTTCTAATTTATCTGCGTCCTTTAATTTTGTAATTTATCTTCGTCTTCTATTTCTTAAATTTACTTCAGGTCTCTAATTTTGTAATCGATCTTAGTCTTCTATTTTTTTAATGTACTCTTGTCTTCCAATTTTGTAATTCATCTCTGTCTTTTATTTTTTTAATTCATCTTCGTTCTTCAATTCTTTTTTTACTATAGCCTCCACAGTAAATTTGTACGTAAATAATTATTTATTGCCTTATTTTGCACAGAGACTGAGACCCGTTGAAATTAAAGACGTGGACAGCATCGATCGCAGCGTTTATAAATACGTTTGAAGAGACGATTCCACTAATTTGAACGTAATTAAAACGAATCCTGGTTCGCAGCTCGTTTTACAGAATTTCTGGGATTTTCTTGAAAAGACACGGTTCCGTAATGGCGGCGAACGGAGCGGAGAGAAAGTAGCAAAACTGGCGTACAGGCATATAAACGAGCGTACAGTTGCATCCCTCGCGCCCGAACCGCGTTTCTGGATCGTTAAACAGGGCTCGTCGAGAAACTCTCGAGCCCGGGTGAAAAATTTGTATCCAAACTAGTTTTCCACTACCCTCGAGCGCGAGTAGTTTCACCGGTGAAAAATATAACGCCCTCGTTGGCGTCGATAAATCTCGAGTCACGGACGTGGTTTTTTTTAAACTGCGACTTTTTTCAACAATTCTCGACCGCAAACGCTAAACGTCACAGATTTCAGCGAAGGATATAATTTCCGTTTTGATAATACCCGACGTTTGCTCGCTCGTTTTATCGGGGGTGAAACTACCCCCTTAAAGTTCACGGAACTTTTACTTTTCTCGATGTGTCTCATTAACCGCGGCGAATAGAGAAAGGCACACGGAACACGAACAAGGTAAATTTAACTCTGAATGGGAAAAGTAGGGTTGGAATAAGTTGCACAGTTTCTGCTTGAAACTTTGCTCGAAAATTCTACTTTCAGCGTGCCATTGAACGGTGACATATTAACCCTCTGTTGCCGTAATAACTTCCACTCGGTATATTAACCGACTGGCGGGCAACTTTTACTCTTTGCGTATTGAAAACGCTGGCTAACTCCAAGAATCGTGGCGGAAAATTTGATACGATTTAATTCCAGAGTTACGATCTATTGATTCAACTCTAAACCTATCTCTAATGCACACTTCGAAATTAAAAATTATAATCGAACAACTTAATGATAAATCATAAATTAGTGCACACATTAAATATTCACCTCAAAGAAAATTAAATTTTAAGGCAACTTTGTTGCACAATTTGTGTCGAACAATTTTGTAATCTGAGATAAGGAGGTCATTATTTAACGCAATTCGCGGTAAAAAGGTTTCTTTCAAAAATTGAAAAAGTCATGCAACAAAAGAACGCTCAAATTAGGCGACACTTTGGGAAGCGAGAAGAAAAGAGATTCCGCGTGCACACGTGTTTCCACCTTGCTCGTTTCCTATTAAAACGATGTCGCCAAGACCCACCCGCGTCGCGATTTTCTCTCCTTCTCTGTGGCTGTTTCGCGTCGTCGTCGCCGCACGAGAGGGTCTACGAAAATAAGTCGAGGCGCGCCCCGGCAATTACGCGAGAACGGCATGGTCGAGT